CATTTAAACCTATGGAAAAGGATCGATAAACAGGGTGTTCGCGACGAACACCTCAATAATCGATTCTTTACCATAGCTTCAAATGGAGAAATATCGATGGTTGATCATTCACGCCTTGCCACTGTATCGCGGTCGAGAGAAGAGGCAACCCGGGTGGTTGAGTGGCGCTGGAAATGGTGAGGCCGCGATGTAGGGCGCTTTTGCAATCACGGTGTTTCCGTTCGTCGTCGATGACAGAAACATCGGTTGAGGGCGCGAACGAACAGGCCCGCGGGTGAGTCGATCGTTAATCTTCATTCATTTGCCCAATAAGTCTCAACCTCGGGCTAGGCCCAGATCCTACCCTAATCCTTCCGTATAGTCAACGCCCTACCGACCAAGTTGCAAAATTTAGCGCTGCTCGCAGTGGCACTTAATTGAAAATGGGTCACTTCTAACTGAATCAGTGTAGGTGGAAAACAGGAAACACGTGGAAATTGGGATACGTCCTTACGTCAGTGGGACGACAGTTTAATGGTGCTCTTAACGTTAAAAAAGCAATCAACACATTTACTTTATGAACACTTAGAAAAGTACCTGATAATGAATTTAAACCCAAATTTTAGACATTTTCTTAATACTCTCGTCTTTGATTTGAAAAGAGGCATACAAATCTGGCAGTAAACTTATTCTACTTCAATAGTAAACTGCTTTGAAAGTGAACTCATATGAAAATTTGTTACGCCTTCACTGATGTTTCTGAGAATAAAAAAGGTCCCAAAAAAGCCTAGCCATTCTATAAATTCAGACATATCGACTCCGGCCTTCGATAGTGATTTTATTCTTACTTGGCTTTCTGAATATGTAAAATTTAAAATTGTTTAAAAACTTTTAAATTTTACATACTTAACGGCTTGTATAGTGATTTAAACTCCTGGAAAATTTTCTCATCAGCTTTCTGACCCTTCACGAACATTGGCCGATCGAAAAATGAAGTATTTTTGTGCGGCTGTAGACAACCCTGATATGGTCGCGTTTCTCAATTAGTCTATTTTAACACCATCAAGCGTTAACACACACTAAAGAGAGAAATCGAGCGAAAAGACAGACGACCCCCGGTCCGCCACCGTTGGGGAGACAGTGGCGCGAATGTTTAATTCACCGATGATGCACATCGAGGGGGGGGGGGGGGGGGGGGTGGTGGTTGGGGAGGGGATTGGGTAGGGCAAGGTCCGTGAACTGTTTACGACCAAAAGTCATTGCCCTCACGAAGCTACCCCCGAGCGTCGAGGGGTGAAAACGGGGGTGCGCGGGTGGGAATGGCCGCCTCACGCGCACCTGAGGGGGATGGTCGAGGGCTGTACGCAGCCCTATGCAAACACCCTGTTCTGAATGAATTAACTAATGACACACCATTAGGGAGTAGCGTCTGCCTCCGTGGTATCTACTTTTCACAGAGGAAGGGAAAACGAATGGGTATTAGGTTTGAGCTAAAGAAAGAAAGGGGGAAAAAAGCATATAGAAAAGAGAAATATATTTTTGTATAGAAGAGGATACCCAAATTCTTTGAGCTCAGAGTTTTGCCATCCCTACGATAAATTGATGCTCGCTCAGCTCTGGAAACTTCTCAAAGGATTCTCACAACTAACCATCATCACATACTGCCTCAGATACTTAGGTTTTATTGTTTCTAAGAGAAAGTGGGGGTGAAGGAGGTGAAGGTGAAGAAATTAGTCTAAAAAGATTTTTGGTGCCTAAAAGCAAGTACTTAAGGAAACTTTAAGTGTCCAAGTTGAAACAGATACGGTAACTTCAATAACCTTTATGAAAATTGTCTGTCCTTAGTGAAAAGTGAGCATTTTCGAAGTACCGAGTTAGTGTATCTTCGTTCTCACTGATTCAATTATCAGGAGGTATTTACTCTCAGATATTCAGACTTAATTTTTGAGGGCCTAAAAAAGAGTGGAACAACGGTCACTGGTAGGAGACTCTGTTCTAAAATGCCTATTTGGATTACGTCTGATTAAAAGGTTTTCCGCAGTCCCTAATTCCAAAGTCTACGTCCATGAGCCAATAAGCTTCCCCAAGCCTAATATTCTCAAAAGCTATGAGTCTAATCTCCGAAAAAATTCGTCTCTACAATGGCATATGTGCCTCTTGACTTAGTTTCCGGTAATTGAGGAAGGCTTTACTAAAATTTAGTCGTTATACTGATCCCTACTTCGGAATAAGGACGATGAAAAAAACATAATCTCAGGTAAATCCATGACAAAACTAGGTATGTAAGGAAGCCACGTGTTGTTGGCGAGCGTGGTTATTCTCTTGGAAGCATTTGCGAGCGAAGAGAACTTGTTCATCAAAAAAGCGATAGTATTTACCCGACAGCCTCAAGGTTAAAAGGGGGAACTCATAAAACTGCCGGTATCTGCTGCAGCGCCGTCACAGTAAAAACCGTTTAGAATAGGACGAGATCGAAAAGTTACCTGGCACGCAACTTTGTGGGGTGATATCTCAAAGCACTCGACAAACATTGTATGCGACTTGAGTCGCGGTTAGTGCAATTGAGCGTATGCATTCAGTAATTAATAACGTAAGTACGCTCACGCGAGCACGGCAGCACTTGGTGTAAAGTTCATAAAACAGCTGCTTCAGTCTTACCGGCTTTTAAATGGATGTGTGAGGCGTCCAGTTTTGCGGACGTAAAAGTATGCGGTTTAAATGTATGGTTCAGGTGCCTGTAATCAAACTCCTCGACGACAAAGGTGCTGGTACTGCAATTTCGCTGAAAATTCTAATTATTCCTTCGATTGCTGGTTCATGGAGTGGATCAATTTGAGCTGCTTGCTGCGTACGTGCAGTTTTTGAAAAAATGGAGATATTCATGATTTCAATGTAACACTAGTCTTAATGTATATTGTGCGAAAAATTCTCTCCCAAATTTTACTTTTTCAAACAAACTACTCGATGACAAAGATGCTGGTACTGCAATTTCGCTAAAAATTCTGATTTTTCTCATTATTCTTTAAACAAATCTTCCTTCGATTGCTGATTCTTGAGCTGCTTGGAGGACAAGGTGCATACGTGCAGTTTTTAACTGCAATATGCATATTCTGTGAAAAATTTGCTCCCAAATTTTACTTTTTCAGTGCCCCGAAAAAAAATTTAGGTTGATTTAAAATTCTGGATGTAAAAAAAATTGTGCGAGAACTTAGAAAATGCTGAATTACCGAATACAGCAGATACTATAACAATGCCAAGATGTAAAACTAGCTGTTGTGGCGGATAATTCAGCTTCTTGTAAGTTCTCGCACTTTTTTTTCAAATCCAGAATGTTACATCAACTTCACTTTTTTTAGGCGCATCAAAAAGTCAGTTTAAACTTCCTTTCCGACATAGGGATCCATGTAATTTCGAAACTTCAAACACGTGTTTCTCGAAATAGGAAAAACTGCACTAATGCGCCTTGTCCTCCAAGCCCCTTAGTTACGATGTTTCTTAGAATGGCGCTAAAAATATAGCCCGCCTACACTGTTAAAAATGTTGGAGTGAAATTCCATTCCGGAGTCTTTACAGGGATAAACTTACAAGAGTAAAAATTTGAGTCGCCTCATAACGCCGGTTCTGAGATATGATGTCCAAAAAATGTTGATGCCAATTGGAATCAAAGGGCCGACAACCGGTTGTCCCAGACTATCTCGAAATGACCAAGAAGGAGGTGGGTTCTATTCTGCACTGAGGGCACTGATAAAATGGAATTGTTAGTAGTCTAGATTAGGCTGGCAAGCTGTTGATCATTCAATGGATCATCGACCCACTATCATTTTCGCGATGTCTGCATTGCGCTCGCTTCCAGAGGCGGTTGTCATACGCTCGCCAATTAGACAGCGAATCGCAAGAGAGATAAAAATTCCTCGTTACCCGACTGTTGGCCCCGTTTTAATTAGCCTCAATAGGATATTCCACCTATCGATGTATCGAATGGGAGCTCACCATAATTCGTCGTGACAAGAATCGAATCAAACATCGATAGATCTCGCAGGCTGTCTCGAGGGACCAGCAAGCTCCATGCGACATCTGCTCAATTTATGACGTCATGATGACCAATCAGCAAATCGTGCAGATTTCGAAGAGACAAGTGGGTCACCATGATTGCTGATTTGTCCGATTTGTTGCAATTTGGGGCTGAGAACGACGGAAATCATGAATTATGTGTCTCAGTCAAAGATCGAAGGTTTATTTGCATTTGATCGCGTTAGGAATGCAGACTGGGAGAAGAAGTTTAAGGTACCGGGGGCGGAGAGGAAGGTTCGGTCCAGTTTGGTCAGGAGATTAGCGGTAGCGGACCAAGTGACACATTGATTGTGGATCGAACTGAAATGCACGTTTATTTTCTCTCTTTGCCTCCTTTCTCTTATCTACACATGAAAAACTATCTAGTAAATGCCTTTTGGAAATTCGTAAAAACTGAGAATAATTAAAAAGGTACGGAAATTTGGATGAAAGAATCACGTTTCAATAAATTACAGAAGCAAAATGACAAATGATCTTCGTCCATATACGTTGTCTTCGAGGGAAACTGGGCCTTAGAGCGCGAAGCAACTTTTTTTAAGAGAGTATTTTTTTTTTTTGTTTTTTTTTTTTTTTGAAGTTGGACAAAAAATTGGTACATGAGTTTATGATGAAAAAAATCCTCGGTATACATAACATAAAATGTTAAACACGGTTTCGTTGTGTTTTTACTGATTGAAGGGCGTAATATTTGAGGCCTAAACACAGCCGATAAAACTACGTTATTTTTTTTTTTTTTGAGTGAAAACTTCAAATCGTCATTACTCTACTTCGGTTTGAAATGGGTAGGTGTTTTCGGCACGAAAATGACTCTCATTTAGGTAATGGTGCCGATACTCAATTTTTATGCCTTCAGAACTAAAGTCGTGCCTTTTTGTGATGGTTACATACCTCAACAAAAAATACATGCAGAATAGACTGACGCGCTTTATGAGAATGAGTAAGCAACTCACCAAGGGGTTTTCACCGTTTTTCTGTTTTATTTTTTGAATATTCGAGAGTATTAGTGTCGACTATCTGAATCTGGATGCATACCTAGAACAGAAAAAATAATACGGACAAATTAGTTTAATTGTATTGGTATAGTACAGCAGAAACACATTGACTCATAGGAGCGAGGATATCATGGAGGAAGAATAGCTGGAGAGATATCTGCTTTTGTGAGAGAAAATAAATTAGGTAAGAAAGTGCGCCAAAGGTGTCAAACACCATAAAAGCTGACGCTTGAACACCTCTAATCCGAAAATTTACAGTTCTGCAGTTTTGTAACGAGCTCCTATTTACACGTTTAACTCAAACGCAGCCTCCAGCGTGCAGGGACTAAAATTTCTGCATTTCATCTCGAACTTCCATCCAACGTTGTCACTTCGAAAAAAAATATCAAATACGATTGAAATCTGATTGTCAACTGGATTGCATTTTGCAAAAAAGAACCAGGAGCATTGCAATGTTGCAAAGATTGTGCAATATCTCTGGTCTTGGAGGAAAAACCTGATTATCCATTGACAGTTCCTATCTTACTCGCTGAAAACTGTGAATTTAAGACAAAAATTACCAAGTAAATTTCATATTCTTCCATGATTTCAGTATTTTTATTGCAAAGGATGAGAATGCACAATCTTTAGCATCATTGCAATGCTTCTGGTTCCTTTTTGCAAAATGCAATCCAACTGATGTCAACTAATCAACTGATAAGCCCCTACATATACGAGAATCATCTGAAAAAAGCAAATCATCTGGGAAATTCTTTAAAGTCGAATGCGTTGATTCACTACATTAATTTGGTCGCAGGACCAGTTCTGGCCAGGCATTGCAACATTCAAAGGTCCAATCTTCTTTTAAAGACATGAACTTAAAACAATGCTCTTGAATTGAAAAGATTCCTTTGGTACTATTTCAAACCAAACTTTTCTGCTGGTCGTCAATTTGCAATTGCAGTTTGACAGTGGTCGGCACCTCATAATAAGAGGGTAAAGGGAATACAATCCGCGCGAGAAATGACGAAAATTCACAAACATATCTAACAATGATGGTGATTTATTTGTTGAAAAAATTAAAGGTGAAAGGAAATTTGTCACCTTTTTCCCTGCTTGTTAGAAACATTTGATCGGAGGTGGGCTATGCACGACCTTGCAGTGGGAGTTTTAACCGTCAACGGTGCCTTTCAAGTCTATTCTGCGAGGAGGAGATCGAGAAGTAACGTCATGTTTGCAACTATTCGTACCTTGCGGTAAACTTTTTTGCCTACCCTGTAATTTGAAGGAGTTTTCTCAGGTCATGCTTTCCTCACACCTCTAGATTCTAGAATCAGATCAATGTTAGATAGGTCATACTTCACGCCTATCACTGATACGTACTTACATCCGTCTAGGATGGCAACATCGACCTGGTTTGATGCAAACACTGATGATAGACCCGCGGTTCCAACAATGATTTGTCGATCATAAAAAAAAACAGGGAACTAATCTGAACTTAAATGTTCCATAGACTCCCATCGAAATGGCATGCGGCGAACTGCTTGGTCAATACTGCCGGCATATTTCCAGCTTGTGCAACCGAGTAATGTCCGAAGTCCGAGGTTGCTAGATTACCTTACTGTTCCCACAAATTTACCCAAAAACCGAATAGGAAACCGGAATTCTGGCATCCGCGCGACGTTAATAAACACCCGGAGAGCATCTCTCGAAACCTTTACGATCCGTCGGCGTTTCATCCTCAATTTTTATTTTCCTTACTTTTCTCTTCCCAGACTTAATACCGCGCTGCTCCGCGCGCGATTTGCATAGCTAATGGCCAGCCGAGGGCCCTCGCTTGTATCGGGGGGCCCACGGGGCCCTCGGCTTTTCTATCCGTGGTGTGGAGAAAAAGCGCCGAAGGTCCATTAAAGTTCTCGAATTTCAATTTCAGGACTTGCTGCACGTTTATGGCCGACAATTACACCTCGACGCTCGCACCGCGGTTCGGAATGGTCAACTTTACGGGAAACTCCGCGCCACGCTGCCCCCTGCAAGGAACGCTGAGCCGTTAGCAGCGGCACCTCTTGAAGAGATAAAACAAACTGCGGAAAAAGAAACTTTAGGATTGAATTGCGGGGAGAAACGGCAGTTCAAGTGAGATGGATACTGCCCGGAGAGGATGCCGACTGATCGCGTTTTTGCTGACTACTGAATACCTTAATTACTGCGTTTTTTACTGGAATTTAATGAACCGTAGATTTTTTTGCGGAGCCTGCGTTTACTCGAATGATTAAGATACAGAGCTTTGGTGTTCATACGTTAGAATGCTAAGAGTGACGCTATGAAAAATAGCCTTCGCTTCAGGCTTCAGGACGTGCGTAGGAATGTTTAAATATTAATTTCCGTTGGCTACGCACTGGACACTGAAAGAGGTTTACGATTAGTTATGAGGTAGCCGGTGCTATAAAGCTAGACAATTTTCAGTTTTCCAAACAAGTGTGAGATGTAACATTCCAAGGTTGCACAGTTGACCCAAAATTTTTTATTTATAAAATATATGCAATAAATATGGAATAAATATATGCAATTTCTGTTCAAAATTTGATGATATTGCGAGTAAAAGTGGAAAAATTAGTGGAATTTTCATTTAACAACATCCACCAGTTTCTTCGTAAAAGTCCAATTTGCAAATTAGTGGGATTTTTAATCTCCTGAGAGGATAGTAATTTCTAATTTTGTCGTCTTTCTGTGATACAAGAGACAGCACCTTTAATTAGTCGAGTTAAGAGAGAAACCAAACACACAATTTGGCCTGAGACGGCGCGACCTAGGGAGAAATGATGACGAGGACTTGAGATGAAAAGAAGAAGTCCTCGGCGCGGCAATCTGCATGTAACACATATTAGCGCCTACAAGACTGCACGAATACTTCACACATTGCATCAAACACGGTGCGGTTATTGTGGTCAGCGTGAAACGGATAGCGCCAGCGCCTACAAGAATGCATGAATACTTCACGCATTGCGCCAAACTCGGTGCGGTCGGCGCGGCGCGGCGGCGGAAGTTAAAATCATTAAACCAAATTTTGTGTTCGTTCTTTCATAATTTTTTCGTTCATTTCTTATGAATGGAAGGCCTTGTCCATTTGAGATAGATTTACGAAACTTGACTTTCGCGCAAAGTTCCGTGACCTTTTGCTAGTAGTGTTGACAGGGCTTTCCCAAAGAATGTGTTCAACACGAGTAAACGCGTCTTATGCACCCCTCCCCCGCTGGCTGGCACGTTCACTTGGTGGTTTTTACTGATGTTTCAAAACGAATGAGAAGGGGGCGGCAAAATATAGGCGGCCCATGGGCAGCAAGTAGGAAAATCCAGCCCTGAAACCATTACCATTCTTATTTTCCGTGTAGGTCAACGTTCACGCTCCACCTTAAAACATCTTTTTTTCAGGATTGATTCTCACTAGAAAACAGAGTCGCGAGACGGCAATACTGCATCGGCTATCCTAGACGGAGACGCTGATTATGAAATACCTGGCGCGTCGAGCGCGGAAAAACGCGATTGCCGCGGAATTCTGGCTCTCAACGTGACACTCGTGGAAGCCGCAGCCGGCTCCTCGCCTCGCGGAAGTCGCAATCAACGCTGCGCTATTCCGAAAACGCACTCCTCACATCCCATCGTCTCCCTCGTCCTTTATCCTTCCTGTTGCATCCCTAAACCTCACTTCAATCACCCGCCATTTTCCCTCTGTTTTCGCAGACGGACAGGTGGGATTTATCGCTGGAGCAGAGCTTGCAAATGAGTTGTAACGGAAATCGAGTCACGAGGGTCGACGAAAAACAATGCATCTTGACGCATCCTGGATTCAGGTTTCCAATTGTGGAATTTCCTGAATTTAGAAAGTTTCCTCGGTAAGAAGATGCGAGGGAAAATGGATGACAAATTTACCTGCGACAGAAGGAATAGGTATGGACTGAGCATCTGAGGCATTTATCCCGGCAGTGGGCGTATTGCTGAATCAATAATATTTTTTCGTGAGCGCTAAAATAAGCGCGAAAAATGGCATAAATCTAGGAGTCTCTTGTCGAGAGGGTCGTAAGTGATTTATAAGAATAGAAAATGGTGGGTAATCTAAAAAAATGTACTTACAGCTGGTATGCGAAAGTTTCAAATGCTTGATGAAATGCATTCTTTCTTAAGAGAGAGACAGGAAAGGAGGGGAGAGATGAGAGAGAGAGAAAAGTTCGTTGTTAAGAACGGGAGAGATGAGAGAGAGAGAAAAAAGATAGTTGTTGAGTTTACACTTCATATTCCTGTCCAAATTCTGACGAGACGTTTATTGAGCAACTTTTTCGCAATAGCCCAGTCAAGTCGCAGTGAACATCGTAAAATTCCAAAACACAGCTCAATTTCAGTCTCCCATGTTGCAAGATTTTACGAAAAGTATATGATTTCCCTCTTTCTTTCATTGACGATTCTCCTGCTTCCTCCCCTCTTATCCTCTTCCTCCAGCTTTGGCTCTGCTGAAACATTCACATTTTTTTCCAAAGACAGGAGGAATGAAAATAGAGGAAATGAATGGGGCATATGGTAGCTTTCGTAAATGTGTTTCATTACGGTGCTTATTCTTCGAATGAGCTTGAGCTATGAACATGAAATGAAGATCTGCGTCTAGAAGGCTCAAGTTTGCCTATCACTGTTAAAATTTACTTTTATAATGCCCATCCAGACAAGAGCTCTCGATATCTTGTATGCTCTTTGGCGTCATGTAGTGAGTGGCATTAACACACTTGAATGCATTTCAGCCATCATTGCAAACGTCGATGACTTCGAAGTTTCAAGGACCTTATGACCATCGATCCGTTAGGTCTACGATCGACAAGTATGTAAACCCAGTACCGCAACATCACAAGCACCATTGCCAGACTGCGTAAAAAATAATCAGTTTTCCCGCGTTAAGTGTTCTAAGTCTGAAACTTAGTGACATGGTAACAATACAGAGGCAATTAGGCGAGCTGCATTTTCGCCTGGGCCCATATTAATGGTAAGTGCAGTCTCATCCTGATGAATGATGCAAGT